CTTCGTCATGGACGTTGCTGTTTCCCGAGGAGCCGGGAGCCGAATGCTTTGCTAAAGCTGGTAAAATGGAACCAAATCAACTGTTCAATGGATTTGGTCCCCTTCAACCAGCTGTAGCTGTGCATTGATCGCACCGTCAGCCCGGCTGGAGGACAAGGTAGCCATGTGGGGTCCAGGCAGAGGCCCAGCACGGCCCGAGGTCAGCTCCAAGTAAGCGATCCCCCTGCCCTGGTTCAGTCCCACCTTGGGCTGGAATCCCCACCACCCCACCTCTGGCCGGTCTGCAGGAACCGGGATGCCGCCCTCCCTCCCCCAAATGTGGGATCCTCGGGGACGCCCTCCAGCCAGCCAAGGTGTCAGCGCGGCTGTGGCTGCCCCTACCCCCCGCAGTCCTCGCCAGGTCACTGTGAAAATAAACGTTCGTTTCCACACTAGAACGTTACCTGAAAGTGTGTGTTCTGGAGCCTGTGCCATGTGGGTCCTAGGAGGGGCCTGCACCCTGCCTGGTCCCAAGAAGGCAGACCCCACGGCCTCTGCTCTGCGTTCTCCTTCAAAGCACCCTCGGCCCCAGGAGGCCGTCTGCAGTGGAGGGCAGCCACCTTATGCTGATGACCCAAGGAGGTCAGGGGTCTCCATGTGGGGGTGTGGGGAGGCTGGCGCAGGTGGCCCACATGTCCCAGTGTCACTTCTGCCACCCCAGGATCTGGGATGGCCAGCTGATGGTCCGCTAGACTCCTGCAGGCCCTGCCAGGGCTCCCAGGACGAGAGAAGCAGGGCCTGGGCCTCTTCTGCACCCTTCAAAGATGCCACGCGGGTGAGGCCGGGCGGCTTCTGTGAGGGACCAGCTGTGCATCAGGTGGTTGTGAGAAGACTGCAGGGAAAATGGGCCTCGCAGAGGGCAAGGTGGTGCCTCTCTCTCAGTTTCGTGGTGCTGGGCTCTGGGGAGACCCCTGTGAGGTGCCACTGAACAGGACTCCTCGCCATGGTCCCTTGGCTGGGGAGTCTTCTGGGAAGGCCACACTGTCCCAGGCTCCCGCCCTCAGGCAGAGGCAGGGCCCCCCACGTGGCCTGAACAGGCACCAGCGAGCGTCTGCCATCAGCTGAGGTTTATGGGGCAAGCTGCAGGCACCTGCTGTTGACACTTAAACCCTGTAAACTGGGACCTCCTGATCTCCCGGGGCAGGGATGGCCAGGCACTGGTGGGCCTGAGGCCTAGGTGGGCTCATGGGGTTCCCGATGGGCAGCCTCTAGGCACAGGGGTCTGAGGCCTGCCAGGAGTGAACCCCTACTTCCTTCCGGAGAGGCAGGGTCAGAGGTGCCTCTCCTCTGGGACCGCCAGCTGTCGTGCCTCCTCCCTGCTGCTCTGCCCTGAACACTGGGGGAGGGCCACTGTCTGCCCTGAGATCTGTCGGAAAATTCTATTGGAAATTCCCTCAAATTGAGGAGCTGGGGGAGGCCTGGTGTGCGTGACCCTCCTGCCTCATTCCCGCCTGAAGCAGCTCTCAGTCCCATGTGAAATGCTGCACCTCGCTGAGGACTCTGGGGCCACCCCATTTGTCCTCAGGAAGGGAGCCCTGGCCCTCTCTGCAGTCTGCCATTGCCCAACAGAGCTGCTTGGCCATCCGGAGAAGCTGACCAATTGGCTTTTCGATTGATTTGATACAGTTCATGTCCGTCTCCCACGGTGGCCAGAGGTGTCAGCAGCCTGGGGACCTAGGACCTGTCCCTGGGGAGGCTTTTGTGCAAACACTGCCCCGGGACCAGGGGCCGGTTCTGGCCGGGCACCCGCCCAGGAAGCCCTGAAACTGGCAGAGACCCTTTGAATATGAGCTTGTGGTTCAAGTCAGGGTGAGACCCTGGCTGTGGACAGGGACGCCTGCCCCCTCGGGCCCCACCTGTCCCCTCCTTCCTGTCCACACCCTGTGCAGCCCGACTCCAGGTGGGCGCCTGATTCTGAATCGTGTTGACACCTGACAGTGGTGATGGCAGGGCGGCCAGCTAGCTTGGGCAGAGGTTGGGTTGGACCCTAGGGTGACCTTAGTCCTGGGCTCCCCCTTCCTGCCCCGAGCATCGTGAGATACTCCAGGTTCTGCCTGCTGGGGTAGTGTCCCCTCGCGGCTGCCCCGGGTGCCTTTTGTCAGGTCCAGTGAGAACCGCTGCACAGGCCCAAGGCCACTTCTGCTTTCTCCACGGGTGACCACACCGATGCCCTGGATTATATGAGTGACCGTCTGGCTCAGGGCCGATAAAGGGCCAACAGTCCCAGTGAGCAGCCACAGGCAATACGTGGACGTGGGCTTGGGTGGCTCTGGTTAAACTTCATGTACGGACATGGGGATTTGAATTCCATATCATTTTCATGGGTCTCGAAATAGTATTCTTCCTTTGATTTTTTTCCCCCAGTCATTTAAAAATGTAGGAGCTGGGCCGGCCCCGTGGCTTAGTGGTTAAGTGTGTGCACTCCGCTACTGGCGGCCTTGGTTCGGATCCCAGGAACGCACCGACGTACCGCTTCTCCGGCCATGCTGAGGCCGCGTCCCATATACAGCAACTAGAAGGATGTGCAACTATGACATACCACTATCTACTGGGGGTTTGGGGAAAAAAAAAGGAGGAGGATTGGCAATAGATGTTAGCTCAGAGCCAGACTTCCTCAGCAAAAAGAGGAGGATTAGCATGGATGTTAGCTCAGGGCTGATCTTCCTCACACACACACAAAAAATGTAGGAGCCATTATATAATGTTATAAACCAATGTTACGGCAATTAAAAAAAACAGAAAAACAGCTCTAGCTTATATACGGATTATATCCCCCAAATTATAAAAATGTGATTTACTCATGAAATAAAATTTATAAAACACCTCAAGAAAATAAATAAATAAAAACCTAGAAGCCATTCCCCGCTCTCAGGCAGTGAAACAGCCAGTGTGGGGCCCTGGGGCTGGAGTTTGCTACCCGCTGGCTAGATTAACTGGGTAAGTGAACGGCGAGCACGTGCTCCGAGCGGTGTCCACAGAGAGGCTGGAGAGGCCTGTTTGGTGGCGGTTACTAGCTGCTTAGGAGGCGTTGTTGAACAGACAGAGGAGGGCCCCAGGGAAGCCCCTCACCTGCCTATGGCCTGTCCCCAGCTCTCACAGCGCTGAGAGCAGGTGGAGATACCTGGCCCCCTGGCAGATGCGCAAAATGAGTGATGACCCAGCTGGTGGCCACAGGGTGGAGCTGTTTTCTCTGCGGCGTGGAGCGGCTCCGTCTTGGCCTCGCTGAGGGCTGGGTCCCGAGGTGTAGGGGGTACTGTCTTATCTCCCCCCACCCGGACAGCCTGCCTGGCACAGGCCCAGTGTGCCCCCCAAGCCAGTGCCCATCTCTGGAGCAGGCATCCACTGGGATCAGGGCCCAGGAAGTGGGGACGGCACAGGGACGCTGGCCCATCCTGGTGACCCCACATTCTCCTGCTTCATGCCCCACCACAGCCCTCATGGCTTATCACGGTCCCAGGGTCCGTGCCCACCCTGGGGCCGGGCAGGGTCCAGCTGAGCACCTGGGACGTTCTTAGGGCCGCCTGAGGGGCCATTGGACCTCAGCTCATTGGTGGGCCTTCGACGGAAGGAAAAGCCTGATGCTACATAGATGGCGAGTCCTCTAACAGCTATAACACGCTTTTCTCCTTGGGAACAGAAACCAAGTTGGGTGTGAGTCTGGGGTTTTAGTACTGACAGTAGTTTCTAGTTAGTTTTGGTCCCAGGTGGCATGTGCCTCCCACGACGAGGAGCAGGAGTCTGACTACACGGGGTACTTTCCGAGGAGGGTGGACTATAATGTGGGGCCGGACCCTCGACAGGCGTCCACACCTGAGTGGGTGGGTTTTCTCCCACTTGCGAGTGACGCCTTGTCAACAGGGTCACCGGGAGATGACGGGGACAGGGGCTCCAATTCAAAATCAGAGTGGAAAGCAGAACAAGTCACAAGGCATTTCCCACTCATGCAAAGCTGGACGTATTTCTCGGCTCTCCCACCGGAAATGGGTTTCTCGGGGGGAGCAAGGCCGGATCCTACGGAAATTTCTAGATGAAGAGTCTCTATGTCTTCCAGCATCAACCAGTGGACACAATGACGGATAGAATAATCTGCATCTTTTAAATGTCAGACTGAGGTCACTGCAGAGCCCTGATGATGAATCTCATAGTCTGCTCATCCCTCTTTTATGCTAAGTGACCCCATCACGTGTAAAAATATCAAATCAATAGCCGGACGCTCTTCCTGAATGAGCTGAATTGCAGCTTCCACTACCTGCCTGTTGTTGGGTTGGGCCTTTTTCTTATTCCGACCTGCCTTCCTGCTGCTGTTGGGGTCTGGCTCTGGCAGAGTTGGGGGCCGCAGTGGAGCCTTGGGAGAGCCCACCTGCCAACCCTTCCAGCGTTTCTTGGGAGGCCCGAGGGGCTGGGCCAAAGAGGGGCTGTTCCTGAGGCTGTCTGGGGTTGCCCCCTGCCCTGCCCAGGCCCTGGGCCTCATCACCCCGACCTCGCAGGGTGGGGGGTGCTCAGCAAGAGGGGCTGCCAGGGTGGGGGCTGGGTTCATCCTTTGCGAGGATCACTCTGCCCTTTGCCTTGACCTCTTCTGGACAGCCCATGGCCCTTGTCTGGCCTCTGGATTGCAGCCGGGGCAGCCCCTCGATGGCCTCCCAGAGGTAAGGGGTGGGCAATGAGGGCTGACCATTCTGTGGGGGACATGGCCTCACAGGGCTGCCTTTAGACAAGGTTCACCCTGCAAACAACACGCCTTCCTGGGAGGAGGTTTTACAGCACCCTCAGTTCCCAGGAAATTGTTCCAACCTGGTATCCCTGCTCCCAGGCCCCCCCCCAAGGTCGGCAGTGGGGTGTGGGGGGAAAGCAAGGCCACTCTCCAAGATGATCGATCCAATATGAGAAGGGGAGTGAGGCAGAAAGATCACAGCTCTGCTTGAAGACATGTTGAGGGTGGGGCTGGGGTCCCTTGGGTCCTGGAAGCTTCCTTCCATCAGGGTGGGGAGAAGGGCTCTGGCCAGCACGCAGGAGAAGGAGGGCCCAGTGAGGACTCCAGGTGGGGCCCCTAGACCCTCCTTCGCCCCTCATTCGTGGGACGCACCAAAGACACAAAGGTGGGCTGACGTCACCAGCGGTGGTGGCAGGGCTGGCGGGGCATGGGGGCCAGGCTGGTGTCTGCTGTGAGAAACAAGCACCAAGAACACCTGACATTTGTCATGAAACTGAGTGGAGGGTGCGAGTCCCTGGTCGGTTTTTGTCAGAGAAGCTGGCTGTTCTCGGGGCTGCCCCCACGGCAAATCCTAGCATCCTCTCCGAGAGTTAATTCCTGGAGCCAAGAAGGAGGGAAATTGCCCCAAGGAGCGAGTTCCTCATGTCCTCATTTGTGTCTGCCACTGTCGGCCTCTGATAGTGAGGACCACTCTCTCTTGTGAATTGGACAAATCGGAGTCTGAGAGCTCAGGGGGTGGGGGCTGCAACCCATCGCCTACCTCGTCCACTCTGGTAGCTGCAGACTCGACCCTGTCCGCACGGCCGCTGTCCTGCCAGGAGATGAGAGCCGTCGGGGGAGATGGGGCTGGGAGAGCAGGGGTGGGGCCGTACGCACTGGATGGTCAGGAGAGGCCTCTTACCTGAGTCTCACGCAGAGTCAGCCCCTTCACAGTGCCTAGCGAATAAAACTAAGACTTGAAGACAGCGCTGTGAGCCCACCTGGCCAGAGCCCTCGAGGGAGGCCCTGTGCTGCCCGAAGCCGCCCTGGGCGGGAGAAGGCCTCCAGCGAAGTCCTGGTCTGGGACCTTGGAAAGATGTCGGGGCTGGAAACTGGGGCTGCCCTGCACGCTTCCTCACAGGAGGGTCGAGGGACCAAAGGTGCAGCCCCCCCCACCCCCGGTACACGGCCTGCAGGGGGTGCACTTCCGTCCCCAGGGCACAAGGCCAGCCTGGCCTGTGAGGGGCGCACCTCCATCTCCATCCCTGCTCCATCTCACACAGCCTGACGTGCAGTAATGGTTGGTGGGGAGTCTGGGGGCAGAGGGATCTGGGGAGCCCCTGGGGATGCAGCACGCACTCTCTCTCATCCAAATTCCCCTCAGGACCTGAGTCCTGAGGAGCACAGTTCTCTCACTACTGGAAAAGTGACCGTGGTCTCCTGAGCGTGCCCTGCACCTGCCTGCCTGGAGGCCACCTGAGCTTTCAGCACCCATAGCTGACCCCCCACCCCCTCAATAGCGCCAGTGGTCCCTGGGTAGACCCTTCCCCCACCCACAGCACTGACCTTCTGGCCGCTCTCAGTGTAGGTCACATCAGCTCTTATTTGGCACAGTTTCTAATCAATCCTCTCCATCATAATAAGAACACAATAATAAAAATAGCAGCTGCATTTATACATCCCGTGTGTCCTCACCCCCAAAAGGAAAGTCCTCCCACCCCTGTCCCAGGAGCTCCTGGCTGGGGAAGAGTGTGCTCAGAGGACTGGATGGGGCCCTGACGAAGGCTGGGGACGGGAAGGCTGGTGACCTTCTGTTTCAGGACTGGCCACTGGTTCACCGAGAAGCCCTGGGTATGTACTTTGCCTTCTGCACCTGTGCAAAACCTGCCCGGGAGGCTGGCTGGTCCGGCCGGGGTCTGGGCACAGCGTGAGATTAAACAGAGCAGTAAAAACCCAGCCGCAGGAGTGCGTTTTCAGGACTTCCTTGCGGACAGCTCCCTGCAGCCGCCCTCACTGCCAGGCCCGCGAGCCCTGGGTGGGCGGCAGATGGACAGAGGTGCAGGGACGGTCCCTGGGTGCACCCAGGGGAGGCAGGCTTACAGGAGCCCCGACCCCCGCTGGGCAGCTACAGGACGGGTCCCGTCACTGTGTCCTCAAGCCCCAGGAACTGCGCTCCCGGCCAGAGGAGGACAGGATCAGCTGCATCCAACAAACCCTCAAGCTAGAAGATGAGGGCCATTAATTTGAGTCTCAGCAAGTTAATTAAAGTGCTTGCTTGCTAATGGTTCCCGGGCACAACTGGAGTGAGGGTGTTAACACAGAGACTCCATATATCTGGGGACTCCCTGGTCTGAAAACAGGTCCGCCAAACTTCTAAAATGCCCTCCACGTGAATTATTAATGCAGTGCTCTATTAATTGTATTGATATATTAATAATTAATAATGACATGCTAATAACCGCCATCCTGGCTAGTCTATGCTGCTCGCTCATGCCCTCCCCGTGACGTCCCTCCCTGGGATGGGGAAAGGACACTCTGAGGAGCCGGCAGCTCGCCCAAGGGCAGCTGGGGTGCAGTGGGCCAATCGCTGAAGAGGGGCCCTCACCCTGCAGGAGGGGGTGCAGGAGAAGGTGGCCTCAAACTGCATCGTGATGTGGATCCTCCTCCAGGTGCATCCGGGAGGGGTCCGAGGGCACAGCCAGAAGTCTCCCTGAGCAGAGACAGGGCTGCAAAGACCGTTTGCCCTGGTGTCCAGGCCGCCGGCTGAAAGCTCCCGCCACTGCCATGGGAGGCATGTGGGGGGACATGGGCTCCAGCCCAGCTCCTCTCCTCCTGGCGCGAGGCCCGGGCAGGTCTCGTCAGCTGTCCAGGTTCCATTTTACCATCTGCAGAATGGACACAGTGGTCATGTCACTTTGCAGAGGGTTCAGACCTGGCAGGCATGAGGCACTTGGAAGAAGCAGGCCCTCGGAGCAGCTGGTATTATCCCTCTGAGGTTTTGCCTACTTTATTTCCTTGGAAAGCACTGGAGTAAATTCTTAGTTGCCACGTTCCCTAGTGTCACTCCCCCTGCCTGGCTGGGAAAAGAGTGAAGGGCATGGGCTTGTTTTAAAAGTAAAGGTCTGGATGGTTGGTGTTTGGAGAACGTGGTGACAGCCCCCTGGAAACGGGCCAGGAGCCATAACCGTCACAGCGCCACGAGGCAGGCCCTGGCTGCTGCCAGGAGCCCTCCTGACTGGAGTGACCTCCATCCATCTTCACGACCACACTTTCACCCAGATCTCTGTTATTAGCCCCATTTAACGAGAGGGTGGGGAACGAGGTTCAGGCAAGTCAAGTTCCTTGCCCAAGGTCACTGCCCACAGAATGGCCAAGCTGGGCTTCAAACACAGGCAGAAGATTCCAGAACCAGAGAGCACAGCCACCAGGGGCCCCGTCTCTCGTCCAACAGTTGGAGAAGCCCGCACAATGTGCCTTCCAGACGGCCTCCACCCAGCATGTTCCTGCGGTCGCCAACTCCCCGCCCCTCCCTCTTTCTCTCCTTCTTCTCCTCTTCTGCCTCTGTCTCTGTGTGTCTCTGCTGCCTCCACTCTGTCCTTTTTTTCCTCTGCCCCTCTCTCTGCCTCCCTGTCTCTCTGTCTCTCTCTCCATCTCTCTCTCTGTCTCTCCCTCTCTGTCTCTGTCTCTCTTTCCCTGCCTCTCTGTCTCTCCCTGTCTATCTCTCTCTCCATCTCTCTCTCTGTGTCTCTCCCTCTCCCTCTCTCCCCTGTGTAACAACAGCTCCACATGGTTATCAGGAGGGGCCCCGAGCATATGCAGCCTGTCTCTTACCGGGGTGTGTGTGGGACTGTGCCCCAAGCACACACGGGGACACTCAGCGGCTCCTGAAGCTGCCCGCATGTGTTCATGTCCTCGACCTTTGGGGCTGGCTACTCCGGGGTGGTGTGACTTGGAGCAGAGGTGGGTACAATGAATAAAAGCCGTGGAACTTGCTTTTATTCTCTTTTGGCAACTTACCCAAAGAGGACTCTCCTCCTGAGCAAAGCATCTCCTCGGCCTCTTGGCAAGATCTTAAGGCCCAGAGGGGCCCCCATGAGCCTTTGTCCCGCGGTATTTCCTGGGGAAAGGCAGGCTCATCAAGGTCGCCACAAGGACATGGGACCTGAGCTCCTTTAGAGAAGAATGACTTCTCCCCAGAGGAGGCTGGCTCTCATCTCAGCCAGGGATTTGGGGGGTTGCCTCTGCAGAGCCCACAGGGCAGGACTCTGTCCAGAGCGGCCAGAGAAGGGCCCACCGGGCCATGTTGGTTCCTCCCAGGGCTGGCTGCACCCTCACATGGCTGCCATGAGCCTCAAGCTGTGCTGGCACCACAAAGACCAAAGGATGGGCCGGTGTGGCCCCTCTCAGACAGCCCCTCCCCACTGCGCTCAACAACTATGCACAAAGAGGGGACGTGAGTGGGTTGGTTTGCTGTGAGACAGACAGGTGGGGGAGCCCTTGGGGTCCTGTACGCCCATGGGATCTGGCGGCAAGAGGCCTTCCAGGAGAAGCAGAGGCACAGAGGCGGTGTGACAGGGCTGAGGGTGGTGCCACTGCAGCCCGGCACCCAGGCAGCCAGGAGACCTTGAGCAAGTGACAGCACGTCCCTGTCCTGGGCTAGCTATGTGTGTTCTGGGTCGTCAGGGGTGGAGGGAGGACGGTGCTTGGCTCCCTGCGGGAGAGAGAGCTGGTGGGCTGGCAGGGAAGCCGGCCCCTCATGGCCCCTGGACCCAGAGGCCTGTGGCACCCACTCCACAGAGGCCCCAACTTCCCAAGCCTGGCCTGCCTTTCCATGCGGCACTGTCCCTGCCCTCAAGGTGGGGACTCCTGGGCGAGAGGAGGTAAACAAGACCTCCAGCAGCTGCCAAGATCGTGGCGGGTCTGCGGGCACCGAGACGAGCACGCCTGGGAATCTGTGTGGTCACGGGAGGCTATGAGGCGCAGTGGCATTGGGACGATGGCTTTCAAGTGTCTGCACTTGCAGGGGGTTGAACATGAGGCTGCTCTGAAGGCTCTAGAGAAACTGCTGGGCAGAGATTTGGGGGAGGGGCAGGGGCTAGGGCAGGAGGGGCGCCTTGTTTGGTTTTATTTCATACTTTTCCGGCAGTCTGAGTGCTAAATCAGTTGTAAGGGCTGCTTTTAGCATTTAAAAATTTTAGAAAGCAAATTCAGGCAAGGAGGAAGACATAGATCCCAGGTCCTGAGAAGTCAGTCTCTGACTGGTCCCCTCCTCCCCGACCCACCACCAGATCACCCTTCCTTTGCCAAATCCGTTCTGGGTGGGGCTGGTGCAGCAGAGTCCTGGCCCCGCCTTGGGGAGCAGCCGTCTCCCGCGGGAGGACTTTACAGCGCCCTGCAGACTTCCCACTGAACTGTCATCTGTTCCACACGTCAGGGCTCTTTAGAAAGAAAGCGTTTAGTGCTTTCCCCAGAATTTGCAGTCCTGCGTGGGTGCGACATATGAGTGTTCTGTGGTTCAGATCCATACCCCAGGCTGCCCATAAAATATTCGGTCAGGACCCTGGGCGTGTAGGGGGTGGGGGGTCCCCTCCTGGCTCTGGAGGTGTGCGCCAGTCACTGCCTCTTGGGGCTGAAAGGGGAGATGGGAGAACATGGTCAAACCGATGCTAATAAATGGTGGCCACCCTCCCCTGCCTGCACCGCCCGCGTCTGGGCCACCGCCGGGCTGGAAGGACCCACTCACATCTCCCAGTGAAGGGCAGCTGCCCTGTGGCCTGACAGACAGGAATGAGGCCTTGAAGGAGCACTGGTGGGAGGGAGAGGTCATGGGAGGAAGTGCAGGAAACATTGA